TTAAAAAAAAAAAAAAAAAAAAAAAAGTAGATTGGATCTGGTTTTCTTTTTGAATATTTTCTGTTCCTCGGAAGATTTTGAAACATTCTTTTGTAATTTGTAATCTGAGTTAATTTTGACCGAATATACTCGATATTAATTCGTCTAGGTTAATGATGAGGAACAGGATTGGGTCATCACATTTTCTGGTTAAACTAGGGATGTGTTTGTTCATAATTCATTAATTTCCTGGGAGGAACTTTATAAATGCCCTAGTTTTCTGGAATGTATTTCCCCAATTATGTACGTCTTTTCTTAGTGTTTTTGGAATCCCGGAGATATCTTTTCAATTGACATTGCCTGTCAGAGCTTTTGATAGACTAGTATGGTATCGGATCGGATTATTTATGGAACGCAGCTTTTGTTTGCTACTGAGTAAATTGGTCGTGAAAAAAACAGAAAGAAAATCCACAAAACTGAATGTGTTAGGTAATATTCAAGCAACCATCTGGATTTCATTTTTCTGTTCGTTTTATCTGAATCTGAGGTTTAATTAGTCATAGAAGATACAGAATAACATTCAAAACCTACTTGCGTTTTGTTCATTAGGGTTTCCTAAGATTGTTGTATTAGCCCTGGAGTTCCAAAAGAAATTGCAATGTTCTCAGTGAATGCGAATGCCCTGTCCGCATTTGTTCTAATATTCACTCTTTTCTATTATTTTTCCTTCGCACATTTCAGATTTAGAACTAAGGAATATGGAAGGGATTCTTGAAGAACTGGATGAAGCAAAAGCTGATATAGAGAAGCTTAGAGCAGAATGTAAGATGAAGGGAGAGTTATCTGAGCATTTGAAAAGAGTTAATAGCGAGCAGTTTGCAAAGTTACAGGAGGCGAATTTGAAAATTGAGAAGCTAGCTGAAGAGGTAAATGAAAAGGCGGAAGAATTATCCAAGGAGAAGAAACGTTTGGAGGAAGTTGAACGAAGTTTGGTTGAAAGAGAGTCTGCTGTAAAGCATCTTGGTTCTATGAATGATAAGCTTCGAGCTGATGCCAACGAGAAATTTGAAAACTTGAAAGAAGAAATGAGCAGGCTGCTATCGGCTTTGGATAGCACGAATGAGAAATGCATGCTTCAAGAACAGAAGATATGTCAATATGGAGAAGAAATTCGAGGCCTCAAAGAGAATCTCTTGCTTTGGCAAAGAAAGTGTTCAGAAGCTGAAGAACGACTTGTACAGAATGAGGGGGGAGAAAGAGATGATATACTAATTGATTTAAACAATGAAATTGCAGAACTTAAAGATCAGTTGAAATGGAAGACAGAGCACTTTAAACATCTGGAAGAGGCACATGAGAAGGTTCGAGATCAATTCAAGGCGAACAAAAAAGAGTGGGAGCTGGAAAAAGGTACACTGCTTGATGAGATCTCTTCCCTGCAGACAAGGCTAGATTCTCAAATGTTAATCTCAAAAGATCTTAATAGCAAGTTAGAAATGTGCCATCAATCCCTTGCTTACGAAGAGAGTCGACGAAAATATTTACAGATTCAAGTTACTGATTTTGAAACACGGTTTGATAATGTTCTTGATGAGTGTGAACGTGCAAAAACGCAGCTGGATGAGATGACTGCTCAGAGGGATAAAGAAATAGCTACTTTAAGAAGTTCATTAGGAACAAAAGATTCATTTCTCAAGGAACGTGAATATCAAACACGAAAGCTGGAGGAAGAAAATCAGGAGTTGCGGATAGCCATTAAAGAACTCCAGGAGGAACAAATTCAAGTAGATGGGTGTTCGCCTTCTTTCAGAGAATTGCAAAAGAAAATGCAAAGCTTGGAAACTGCCCATGGTGAATGTACTGCAAATCTAAGGGCTAAAGAAGTTGAATGGACGTCTCAAATGGAAGAAGTTTTGAGTAACTTGAACGATTGCAAATCTGAGCTATGCAGAAAAGAAGCAGCAATAAAGGATCTTGAAGCAACGTTGGAAAGTCATTATTCTTCAGCATTGCAGTTGAAGTTACAAAATGATGAGTTTTCTGCCATGGTACTTGTATTAAATCAGGGAATATCGGAGGCTCAAGTTAAGCTGGCGAAAGAAGTGGCTGAAGTTTACATGCATGACAAGGATAGAGAAGAGAAAATATGTTTATTGATGAAGCAGGTGGAGGTGCAGAATGCGGCTTTGGCAAAGGCCAACAAAGACATTGAAGAGGAACGTGACAAGGTGGCCTCTTTGATGATTAGAGTAGAATCCTTGGATCTTTTTGAGGAACAGCTTCAGCTAATGCAGAAAGAAATAGATGGCTACAAGGAATTGCTCGAGGAATCAGCTAGGTGTCAGCTCTACTTAGAGGAGCAATACTTGCAAATGAAACATGATGCAGAAGAAAAACTTGAAGTTTGCAATGCCTTGGGCAAGGCAAATGCTGAACTTGCTGAAAAAGAATCTATTTATGTTCGAGTTCAATCAATGGAGCTAATTGAGGAGCAGTACAAATTAAAGCTGCAAGAGCTTGATCAGGCTATGGAAATACTTGAAGAATCGTCCAGGGATTATCTTCTACTGGAAGAACAAGTGTTGCAAATAGAATGTGATGCAATGGATAAACTTCAGGAAGCATGTAATACCTTGGAAGAAGCAAATGCCGAACTGGATGATAAGATGTGTGAAGGAAACCAAATTGAATTTGAAGTGCATATGTGGAGATCTATAGCTGAACAATTACAAGTTGATCTTGAGGAAAATCATAGCAAACGAAGAGAGTTGGAAGCCTCACTTCTTGAAGAAATCCATGAAGGAGAGAACGTTAAGCGAGAGAGAGATAGCCTTATTCAAAAGTTAAATGAGAAAGACAAGAGGATTGAAAACCTCGAGCAACAAGTTATGCTGCTAGAGCAAGGGCTTGAAATACTAGAACTGGAGGCCACTGCTTTGTCAGGAGCGGAATCAGCTTCCCTTGAATCGATGAGGGATAGCTTTCTTCAGACTATACGAGAGAAGGATGAGATGTTAGAGCAACTCCAAAATGAAGTTGAGTGCCTGGAGCAAGATTCACTGAGACGAGAACTTGAAGTAGCATTGCTATCTCATCTTGGTGCTGAGAGTATGTTTGAGCTTGAGAAGGAGAAGCTAATCCAGATGGTAGAAAAGAAAAACCAAAGAATAGATAAACTCATGCAGCTAGTACATTCACTGGAGCAGCAATTCAACAGCTCTTTGATATCTTTTTCATCAGAGATTAATGAAAAGCAAGCAGAAATTGATATCGTCCACCAGTTATGGGAGAAGATTAATGCTGCTGAATCTTTGGCTGTTCTTGAAACTGAAGAGAAGAAACTGATGATTGTGGAACTTGAGGATAATGTTCGTGTTATACAGCAGAAGCTGGAGCTGCAGGAAGCATCGTTGAGTCATGCAAGAGATAAAGCAATGAAGATTGAAGCAGATTTGGAAGCAAAAGAGACTGAAATGAAGAAACTGACTGATGAATTGAAGACAAAGCTAAGATATTCAGATGTATTAATCGATGAGCTCAGGAGTGAGAAAGGTAATTTAGTGGAAGACGTGATGAAGTTGTCTTCAGAAAAGGAAAACTTGGTGGGTATCATTGGGGGCTTAGGCAATAATATCAGCGAGTTTTCGAATTCAGACAGAGAATTGATGGTCCTTCTGGAGAAGATAATGCTGCTCCTCCCTTGTGCTAATGAATGTCAAAGCATTGAGCTGAAAGAGAACGTGAATTCTCCTTCAATGAAAAGATCTGAAGTCTCGGCTGATGCAAGATCGCCCTTTAGAGAGCTCAACTGTTAGCCGCGCCTGCTGACTGCAACCAGTAGCTAACAACTTCTACGGTCAGTACAATTCTTTTGCCTCAAAATCGCTTTGATCTGTACAAATTCTCTGTATAAGCACCAAGCTTCTTTAATTTAACGTAGTATGGGATCCTACTGTTTTGTACGAACAAGTGATTAGAACAGGCTCAACTTTATTTTTACTTAAAGAGCTAGTGTTCAAATTTGTTTCAAGGTTTCTGTCCCTCTGTGTAACTCTTCTTACATGTTCCATTATTTGCTTATTAGTGGACCATGGATTCGTTGTTCTTTTCTGTCTCTTTTCCTTCCCCAATGTCTAGATAAGTTCAAGAAAATAACTCTTATCCATCTTTTGAGACGTACCAAACAAAAATCTGCACCGAAGATTATGTAATTTGTATAAACAATTCTTTATACAGGAGTAACTCGCTACATTGAGATAATTTGTCGATAATCGAAGATAATAGCATACTACACATCTTTACAAAACTAAGATAGTTCCTCGCCCTGGTTTTTAGAAACATCATATGATCAGGATGACCAGAGAGGAACTTCCGATTGATAATACCATATATAAGGAAGGACTGCTACTACAAATAGTATTACACCGTTACACGTGGTCTGTTTAAGTGATAGAAAGTGGAAGAAGAACATCATTTCAATTGTGGCAAACACAATCAGGCGCTGGATATGTGTATATTGACTGCTTCGGCTTTCTCAACCTTATTTGTCCTAGTCTGTTTTTGTGGCCTTCAACAATAGCCTGCTGAAAGTCTGACCAAATGATGCTTTTGTTCATGAAAAGCTGTCCCGACAATGCCATGTTTGGTCGTATGGTCTTCAAGTTCTCGTACGTGCGATGACCCACCTGTTAAATATCGAGAACGAGTAGAAGAATGATCATCGTTTTAATAGATACATAACTTGCAGGAAGTGTTAGTATAAAATGCACAGATTTTGTTCAGAAAGATTTGACAAAATATGGATCAACTAGCATTTAACTCACCATTGCATTATGCATATTTCCAGGAGAAGCCGAGATAAAAATGTCACTGTGCAGGCTTACATAGTAATCAACCGCAGCTAGCAAAGAAGCCTTTCCTTTGATTTGGGCTAGTTCACTTCCAGAAGTGAGACTCTTCTTGTCTTCCATTAATGGAAAAAGACTCCGCAAAGTCGAAATCCTAGCTTCCCCACCATATACCTGAAAAACCATGTTGTTTTGCACTTTAGAGTTGCAAGTAATGGAAGTAATTTCACTTTCAAACCAAAGATAAGCAAGTTTAGTTGGTTTATTTGTATACAGAGAAGGAAACTACCTTGTGGGAGGCCAGATATAGACGGGTATTGTTGTCAAAACCCGAAGCAGCCAACAGCAGACCAATCTCTTCAGGTGTTAATGGGCAACGCCCCTGACTCCGCAACTCCTCGTCCGTGAACTGAGAGTTAAGGACCCTTCCCTGCCAGAGCACTTGACGATATTTGGCTAAAGCAAGTTTTTCAGCTTTCCCCCCGCCAAAATCACAGGCTGAATGAGCTGCCATGTCCTTCAGGGAAAACATAAAGAAATCAGCCGCTATGAAACTTTAAACGGACACATTGTGGAAACCTCTCCCTAGCATATGCGTTTTAAAACCTTGAGAGAAATCCAAAGAGGATGGCTATACCTTGTCGAATCGAAGGTGTAGAACAACAAACTTCAATGGACCTTGATCATTTGCAACAGTGGTCATACTTGGGTGGTTAGCCTCCTTTGCTCCACTCTTATTCGAAGGATACCGCAGCCGACCGATGAGAGCGTCTCCTAGTGCTCGGATATGAGGAACAAAAAATAATGCTTGAAAGTTGACCTTACAGCGCAGCCTTTGTATCTCATCAGGCAAGTTCTCAAACGTTAGACGGTGTGAAAAGGGTGCAATGGCAGCGATACCGTAGCTGAATCATTAATACAAAAAAACTAAGGTAAAACCAATATATAACAATTCCAACCATGCCATAGCTGAATAATTGATTTGGAAAAAGAACATAAAACAAGTACACATGCTCCTACAAGATCAGAACGGATATACTTCGATACCAACCTCTGTAGTACCGGTAAGACATTTTCAAGATACCAGTTGGCTGAGGCATGAACAGGAGCTGTTTTGACTCGAGTAGCCCGAATGGCTGTAGCATAATATTCCCTAGTACTCCAAGAAAATTCAGCTGGCAGTTCTTTAACTATAGAAATGTCATCCTTCAACACATTAATAAAGTGGTCTACATCAAATATATCCATGAAAGAACTGCAGATACCAAAAAACAAAGGATAAGTGGAAAAAAAAAATCTCGTGATAACTTTTTCATATATAATATCACGAAGAGCGAAGTTTCTAAGTACCTTGAATCTTTCCAGACAGGATTAGTCTCAAGGTAGGGAATCACAAGGGTTGCATTTAGAATTTTTGCAACAGCTACTGCATCACATATCTGCATGTGGATCAAGTAAGTGTTTTAAACTTGAAAACGATATCATCAACAAAATGAACTCGCACACGCTTAAATGAACTCGCACATACTCCCATTCTTTGTTGGTTCAGCCCTCCATCAAGAAACACCTGGATATATCCTTCACTCTTCCATGGTACTGCTGCAGGACATAAACCAGACATGAAAATGATCAGTAATTCAGCAAGTAATATGTTTTAATGATAAAATATCATTTTGGTCGTTTGGATTTCATTCAAATTTAGTTCTTGCACTTCCAAATGTCCAAATTTAGTTACTAGCATTTTAAAAAATTGGTAAAAAATTAACTTCAAACGAATAGTAGAAGATAAACTAAATTTGGGTATTTGAAAGTACGAGTACTAATCCAGAATCAAGCTCAATACATCAATGATCATGGGAAGTTTCTAAGATCTACAACTCAGACTTACAGGAAGCTTTTGAAGCAACACAAGGCTTCCATCCTTGATCAGCCAAAGGAGCCCATAAATCAGACTGATCCAGTTTTGACTGTTATAGAAATAGAATTTAACAATATAAGATTCTCATTCGTAAAAGAACATAGTTGGAGACTAAAACAACTTTAATAATATGATCAATCAACTTTTACCCACACTTCGGCGTTGTAAAGCACTCTTCAGCAGACGCGAGTGCCTGGGCTTTGGAGTGTTCCATTCCTACAAGAGATTACCCAATTATATCATCAATTATTGCCTTAAGAACTCATAAACAGCCCAAGTGTAGTGCATAATCCACCCACTAGTCAACACTGGGGAAAAGTTGGACAAAATAGAGATTAAAACTAACCATTCCTTTTTACATCCAAACCATGCTAATCAGGTTAGGTTCAACCAGAGTTAACTTATACTGGCCTAATGGAGTACCATTCACCTAAAACTAAACTAATTATGAACCAAACATTCATACCCACATACTATAAATGAAGAAGGCCACTGAAATTTGCCTTTACAGTTCCAAAAAGAAAAATGTTTCTCTTTACGGAAACCCTTCAAAAATCAAAACATCAAGTAAATAATTTCACAAACAAGACTCAGAAGATCAAATGTTCAAGCCCTTCAAGCAAACAAAACGGAAAAAGAAAATGAACAGAGTGGCAAAGATATACCGAGAACGTGGAAGGAGAAGCATTCCCCAAAGGGCTAAACAAACCCGGTAGAAAAACGGGAAAAAGCAGCACAAAAACACCAGCAAGAGCTCCAGCTCTGTTGGACTGAAAATTGAGTCCCATAACCAAAACCATCAACAAAACTCGAAATCACCACAGATCTTGGAGATGAGCGAAAACGCAAACCCAAGCAGAAATGGATTGAAATGAAGGAGATGAGAGGTTTGATTGAAATGGAAATGGGTTATGAGAGAATGAGAGGGAGTAGTAGGGCAGATGAGAGTAAAAGCATCTGATTCACACACATGGACATCTGTACAGCTCGCAGATGAATTGATTGGAGAGAAGGGGGGTCGTTTTCAAAGAGGGCCCAAGCGGATAATCGGTGGGTAAGGCGAATTAAAGATTGTCGTACACCTTAATCAGAGAATCACGTAGTGAATTATAGATTTGACTCGTTGCTACCTCTGCCTCTGCTTGATGGTCCACTTCATTGGATTCATCTATATCGCTACTGTGAGCACCGACAATCGGCTTTCGACAACGACTGCCATTATTGAAACAGTTCCACTCCGATTTGTGTAACCTCTTCTCTTCTTCTACGATCGCGAGCAATGTGATTAGATCTTCACGCTACACAAATCAAGCTTTACAAATTATTTTATGCAGCAGTGTTCGAAAATTGAAGCATTGCAAATTCTTCAACAAAGAGGATATCCCTACTTGAGTCCAAAAGATTTGGAGTCCTTATTTACCACAACTCAGTTTGACCAACTCTCTATAATGGTTTTGCTAGTGGGGAAAGCACGATTAAGTTTGATGAACTCTCTACAATGGTTCTACTGTGAGTTTCCCCACAAGTTCTCGTATCAATTGAGGGAGTATTCCTTAGTTATAAACTCATGATCATTCCCTAAATTAACCTACGGAGACTTTGGTCATCATACGTATGTTATTTTTAATCTGTATTTTGCATGCTAACGTGTGCATGACTCAACTTCTTTAAAATAGGTAATCTCGATCAAAAGATTAAATTTTTTTGAATGGCTAATACCACATATTATTGAACTTTATCTCTCTCTATATATATATATTTTTATGCTATAAGTATAATTTTTAAGAAAAACAAAAGTAAGTTTATAACATATTTTGTTAAAAAAAAATATCTATATTTTCTAAAATTTGTAATATTATTGGTCTTTTACCTTTAAAACTGTTGTTGAAAATTTAAAAAAATAATAATTACTAAAATTCAAATTATTTGAAGGTTTCCTTTTTCTTTCTTTCTTTTTTTAATTTTTTTATTTATTTTTATTTTTATATATATATATACACTTAATTCAAATAAGTTTTTGAGTCGTCGCCGTGTCATTTTAGATGATCGGTGTAAAGTTTTAATGAATCTCTTTTAAGAATAGTTTTGAAAGGTTTATAAGAGAGAAAAATTTTGAGATTTTTTAAATATATAATTTAACGTTTTTTTTAATAGAAATTATAATCGCATATACAAATCAAACTCATTTAAGAAGCGAAAGAATTGATGAGGCCCCATTTGCGAAGCCTGCATTAATTACAAAAGTTAGATATTTCCCATTTATAATAATTAATTATTACAAGGACGTGAATTTGTAATCAATGGCAAAGAAAAGAAATGGCTTTGGATCAAAGCAAATATTTGGTGATTATCATCAAAGCTTTATGTTTACTTTTTCTTATACTATAAAAAAATCAATTTTGAGTTAAATTTAGTTAACAGGAAATTAAGAGTTAAATCGAGTGAACACTCGATCGTTAATATTTGAAATGCTATTTGGTATGTTAGTGTATTATCCAATAAAGTAAGTTAGAAAAAATTCGTATAGAAGAGAGATATTTTATTTATACCTATATTTTTTTAAGTAGAATTCGTAGAATCGATATCTCAAATCAATGATGGATTTTTTTTAATGCCTAAATGGAGCACTCGATTTGGACCGAACCTTGCTTTTGGTTCAGATTGACTAGTATTCCACCAATTAGTAACTCAAGAAGCGAAATCCAAGTAAAGTATTGTACGACAAAACAAAGACTAATTAGATGATTTTGATCAATATCTAGATCCAATTGTATTTGTATATAATACACAAAAGTAAGAGAAACGTATGACTACCACTTAAAAAGTAACTATCAATGTAGATTTGAGCCCAAAGATATCCATTTTTAGTTTTATTGCTTGTATTGTCTGCAACAGCTACCCAATTTTCGGGAGACCCTTCGAAGTAAAAATTGTAAATACCGGTATTGTACTTCAAGTATTCAAGAGAAGGTCATGGCGATATGAGCCGTTTATCATCACGTTAGACAATAAAGAAGCTATCATATCCCATTTACGTATGGGTGGCCCATAGGCGCAAGATGTACATTGGATGTGGGGAGGACGAAATTGTCCTAACCTTAGGTCCTTGTGTGAAAATACAAAATTCAAAGAGCTAAACTTGGACCCTAACTCGTTTAAAATTCGTATTACTATAATGGGGAAAGCAATATTATCGCACTAAGCTGTTCAAGAGTACAAACAACTATCATTGATTCAAACTAAAATTACGAGTCTGCTTTACAAAACAAGGGCAACATGTCACCAGCAACACTCAATCGTTACAAGCATCCATTAAATCCTTACCCCCAGAAAATTACAAGTGGTTCACCTACACACCAAGGCTTCATCAAGCTCAGTTGCTCACTAACTTGATTCGCTAAACGGTGCACATTGAATTCTGGAAAATGCAACCTCATGAATTGGTTGATTAAGATTTAGATGGGTTATATTACTCAACTAACCCAAAATTTAGGGTATATAATTATGTTTATAAACTGCCTTTTGCTAGCTACAGTGACTGTTCATCTTCCTGTTCTATCACCATTACCCGGAATATGCCAGCCTGCATCCATTGGATAAATGACCACTCAATCACCTAAAACTTGACCAGTCTAATGAACACATTACTGGAAAATAATTTAAATCAATTTTAAGACATTGAGAATGAAGTTACCCTAGCTTCAGAGATGTGTCTGAGCTTTCCAGATCTTGAGCCGGGCCATTGGAGTTGGTGACACAAGCTTCAGTGACTGAGTTCGAGGACTGGCCATCTTCCACTACCAAAATCTCGGGCTCTACGCCGAAGTTCCTCACACCATCCATTTTCTCCGCCTGCACATCACCGGCTGTAAGTCGCAAACAGCTTTAAATGATACAATTTACAATGCTGCGAAAAGGATTTTTCTTACTTGTTTTTTCAGTCGCTTATTCTCTTCCACCAGCTCGGCCGACTGCTTGCACATAAAACTTTGTGCTTAGCTTCACTTTATTTAATTACAATTAATTAAATTTCTCATGCATACATACTGGAAATGAATGGTTTATTATAAAATTATTTTAAAAATAGCTAACATTTATGATTATGGTTTAAATTAAATACGCGACATTATCAAGTATTATAGGAAGGTTGCAATAGATTCTACTAATATGGGTCCTTTGCTCAATAGCCTTATTATTGGAAGATGGTACTTGACCTTTCTTTGAAGATCAGTGATCTCCTTCATGATCTTTTCGCCCTGGGACACAAAAGAAACTGTACGTTAGAAGAAAAGGGGATTTTATTATGAACTGTGAAGAAAAGGAAAATACCTTTTTCTCCATTACACGGCTCAATCCAAACTCCAGTGACTTCTCTAGCTGCTGCAGTTCATCAATATTCAACGTTTGCAGCTCTTCGCCCCTCATTTGCCTAAATTGTCAACATGTTTAATCGTGTTTGTGTATGTGCTTGGATTTCTCTAGCAGTGTGTTCGTGTAATAGAAAATTTCGCCTGAAGAGACCGTTATTATCTGACTACCACTTACACACATTATAAAAAAAATAATTTGCAATTTCCCTCGTACATTTAAGGATTACGGAAGTTCAACTTCTTCTCTTTTTCATCAAGTGAGTGACTTTGTTTTTAATTCTTGAACTTTTAATCTCATCCATTTAAACCCTTGAACTTGTACAAGGGTTGTAATTAATGCCTCAAAACTAATTTGAAAATTGTCTGTGAACCAGTTTATAAATCATATAAAATATTTTCAACTAACAAAACACGTAAAAAAAACTCTCTAAATCTAATCAAGAAAATACTCGAACCAAATCAGAAAATCAAACAAATAAAAGAGCCCAAACCTAATCACAAACGTAAACCTAACTACAAAATCAAGCATACAAAGTATGTTCAAATTGCAACACGCAATTGAGTTTGGAGTTTAAAAATGACTTGCTAATCTAGGTGGGTAAAAAGGAATAGATTTCCTTCCTAACCATAAGATCAACCAACATGAGTATAGCTCAACATCTAATCCTTCTCTTGAAGTATGAGGTTCATAACATCACATCTAAATATGTAGTATTAAAACAAATAATAAACAAACAACTTCTCGTCTAAAAAAATAGATACCTTAGCTGATGAGTTTTCTCTGCAATTTCCTTGTTTAATCGAGTGTAATTGCTGTTTTCAACGAGCTGAAACCGTTGACAGTATAAACAATATTTCAGCAAACTAGAGGAAGGGAGCCATTATTGGGTTATAAACATCCAAGTCCCCAAGTTAAAAATATAATCAACTCGCATCTCTCCTTTTGAATATTGATTTAAGTACATTTACTAAGAACAAGATCTGTATTATTGTACCATTTTACACACAAAAATAAGCACGAGCAAAATATAAACCTTTGATCCTTCTTTTTAGCATTGCTTTCGGTCTTTTAATATAAATTTCAGAATCATCATCTCAAATTCGAACACGGTTATTAAATTTAAAAAATATGGGGGGAGAAGATACAAATGTTAATAATGATATTAAAATAAGTTTAGCTCTAAAAAGGAAATGAATTAAAAACTCTGTACACTTCAAACATAAAAGAGTTCCAAAGAAAAAAAGTGTACTAGATGGATAGAACTAACGGCTATTAGTTCCAAGCAATTTTCTACAGTTTAGTGCTGCTTGCTTTAGAAACTAAATTTAAATATGTTTCTATTTTTTTAGAACATAAAAATCAATGTAAGAAAAAAAAAATACTTTCACGATGATTTGTGGTCTTCAGGAAAATAAGGTTGTTTCCGGTTTTGAAATGCCAAAATTATGAGCGATGTTATTCGGCGTCCATAAAATAATATTGATTTTATCGTCAGATAATAGTTATAAAAATGAATATTGATGAAAGACATGCCATTTACATCCCTAGAGGGAAAGAAAACGCCAAACCTGTAGTTCAAGGGATGGTTGTTCCAATTTCTGGAGGTTCTTAGAGTGCAAGTTATGTCTTTCTATAATTCCCTTCATACTACAGAAAGTCAAATACAGATAATAATCAGTGAATCCACATAAACAGCTAGAGTTAAGCTCAAAGAGCCAGGAAGAGATTAAAGTAAGAAGAAATCAATGATAATGAATCCATGTTTATCACTACAATCTGTATATGATTAGAGACAATATTAATCAACATAAACAGCTAGAGTTAAGTATAATAGACCGCAGCAAGTTATCATTGAGTGGCTCGGAAGTTCTGTCGCCATCATTCTTATTCCTCATGAGAGGGCTAGCTTTCAAGTGTGATTTATAGATTTTTTGGAACAGCTCAAGCCTAACAGTGAGCAGATAGTGTTCTCTTCGAGTATTTCATCGGGCTAAATCTAAAGATTTTAAAAAGTATAATAATCTACTATGGAGAGTTTCCCACGCCATTATAAAAAATATTTCTTTTCCCTCTCCAACAGATATGAGATCTTACATTTTATTCCATCTTTTCTGTTTGTTGTTTGTTTAGGACAAATTTTATGAGGCACTACTTTACAAGAGTGCTCTATTTCCTTCATCGAGTTGATGAATATTTTCTTATTTCTTCATTTTTCCGTTAGATTGTTGTAAGCCAATACATACGATCTTATCAACACTTTGTTCATCATTTCTGTCACGGTTCGTTCACGCCATTTTTAGTATTACTTTCTTTGAAAATGGAATCAGAGGAGTTCAGAAAACGCAGGAAAACTCAAAAATCGTAAAAGGCCGATTGAAGTTTAGGTTTCTGCAATAAAAGAGAGGAGCGGAGTGAAACCTTGAGCTGGAGTACTCAAACAGCTTCCCGGTGGTGGAGAAGATAATGAGGGCAACATCAGCGTCGCATAAAACGGATAGCTCTTTGGCTTTCTTAAAAAGTCCCCTCCGGCGCTTAGAGAAGGTGACCTGCCTCGCCGTCGCGTTATCGATCTTCCTGATCTGGATTTTCTCCTTCGCCATTCTAATCTACTCAAAACTCTAAATAGCCTTGTTTCTGAGAGGAAAACACTGAGAAAAAGAAGAAGAAAAAAAAGTTCAGATAAAACAGTTCGTTCCACTTAGAGAAATTTCCATTTCGTGATAACGAGCAGTAAGAACCTGAATTAACCAGTGAACAATCGAATGATTCGAGCCAGAATTGGAAAATACTAAAAGAGGGAATTCGTTCAACAATCGCAGTTGCAGAGAAGGAAGAGCGACATTTTTGCCATATTTGGACAAGAATAGGTGTTCGAGCACGTAAGAACGAGGAAGAAAGTGTTGAAGTCGCAGATCCAAAAGGAGAAGGGCCTGAAAGAAGTGGAAAAAAGAAAATCGTTGCAGAATCAAAATGCGTGAAAGATGTTTGGAAGTGAAACGAAAATGAATGCAGAATTTAAAGCATAAACTTACCGGTTAGGGTTGGTTTTTCAGAAAGATGGAAAGCCACCAATGAACAGCGGAAAGAGAATGAGACCACACGCGAAGTAAGTGAAAGTCTCCATTTCTGGAGAATCACGGTTCCAGCTCGTCAACTAAACTTTGCCGTAAAAGGTTGGGGATGAGACTGTAACATACCAATTAAATACCATTTTCCTTTTTTCCGTATTGGAATTATTGTGTATCTAAATAAATAATAATAATAATAATTTATTATTATTATTATTTTGTAAATAGAATCCTAATAAAAAAATATTAAAAAGATATATAAATGAATTTAAATAATTTTATATCGTATTTATAAATTTTTTTTTCTTATTTATAAACCGTCTCTATCATGAAAATAAATAAAAACAAGAATGTTTTGTGGATGGGTTCACTTTTACTATTATATTTTTAATAGAAATTCTATGTGTCGTCCCTGAGGTAGCTGTGAATAAGTCATTATTGTTGTCTATCTTCAATATTTCCTTGGCTATATAAATGCTAATAATTAATGGTGATAAAGTATGGGACCACTTTAAATTACAATAATAATAATAATAATAATAGTCGTAGACTTACAACCTAACAAATCAACAAGAATAACTAAGCCTGCCGAGCAAAAATCAAATTGAAATCCAAAAACATTAATTGGATTAAATTAGCATTATAATTGCATCCATACAATTTTAATAATTAGGCATTGCATTATAATAATTCAATGGATAAAATAATAAATACTATATTAGAGGTCAAATAGTATCAAATTTCAATTTTATTACTGGGATGGTTAGAAAATAAAAATTGGTTTGATAACAATTTTACGTAATGCATTTTAATTTTTAAACATATTGTTCACTTTCAGCATTAGCCTCCACTTTCAACATTAACCTAATTTTTAAACAATAATTAAAACTAATTGTTTTCATAGTTGAGCATTAGCCTAATTTTTAAATAATTAAAAGTAACTGAGATTGTTAGATGAGCACGACTCTCTACAATGATATACACTTTGAGCATTAGCCTAATTTTTAAATAATTAAAACTAACTAAGATTGTTAGATGAGCACGACTCTCTACAATGATATGATATTATACATGCCTAATTTTTAAATAATTAAAATTAACCGTGTTGAGATTGTTAGATGAGCACGACTCTCTATAACTATATGATATTATCTAGTTTGATCACTAGCCGACGTGGGACTTTCATCATCCAACACCTACTCTCTAGAATTATATGATATTATCTAGTTTGATCACTAGCCAATGTGGGACTTTCATCATCCAACACCTACCCTCGAACAAAGTACACCTCTCCTTAATTGAAGCTCTGACTCCTTTCAAAAAGTTTGACATTTGAGGATTCACCAATCTATTTTGCACAACAAGACTTTGCCCTGGACTTCCCCAAAAACATCTCACACCAATGGAACTAGTATTAATTGATTATATAAACTCATGATCATTTCTTAAATTAACTAATGTGTACTAACAAAGATAACCCAAACGTTGTGGTTTGCCATAAAATTGAATAAAATGGTGATAAAATTAACGTAGTGCACTCATCCCTTCACGGAGAAGTCCTATTTCAAACTTTCTAAAATTAATTATACATAAATAGTTTAACTTAGCTGATAACTACTCTTTAATTTTACTTATATTTTCAAAACACAAATATATGAAAGCTACTTTTTTATATATATATTCTTAATCTTAATTTTCGACCTGTTTGAAAATATAGTAAAGAAAAATAGAAACTCCATAATCCATACGTTAATCTCAAAATCTAATTATTATTAACATTAACTAAACAAAGTACTAATAAGTATACTTTTAATATAAATTAATTACTTACAGAAAGGACGACATTATGAATTTCAGAAGTGGAGCAATCAAATTTCAAAAGTGGAGCTATCAATTTTCGTAAAGACGATAAAAAGAAGATAAATTATAATATTTTACGTATATTTAATAATATTTAATTCCATGGTTGATTTGCAGACGGAGCAGTTGGGGTCGTGTCCAGTTCAATCAAAAGGGTGCAATTAAAAATAAACAATATCTAAAGTGAATAAATATGAAAATATTATTACTCAATACACATTTAAGAATTAAGAATGAGAAATAGAATTGGAATCAAAGGTTCTTTACTATTGTTAAATAGATACAAGATACCAACTAATATCTGTCAATAAAGAAAATATAAACTAACTAAATCTTCAGAATAAAATAAAACATACCACTAATAAAATTTAACTGATAATTGATATCATATATTTCATAATTAATTCAAATTAAAAATAAGTGAGACTAAATGGTTGAGCCTAATGTATTATTAAGGTTATAAGAATAAAAGGAAACCCGTATTTGAAAATTAATGGATTTCAATTTTAATTTAATAGAATTAATTTTGTTACGGGAAATAGAAGCGAGGGTGTCAGGGAGGACCACTCCCTGTCATAGCTACGGCCATATTGCTTCCTGAACTGTCCGTAACTGCAGAATCTGTAGTACTGTCTAGGTCTTGATACCCACGCTCTCCCTATCTTAACCTCACCCACCAGTTACGACTGACGAGTTCCCAGCCTTTGCTTTTCTAGCGGAGCTCCCTACTGTCATCTTCCGCTTCACTCCATCACCCGCACTGTACCATCCAATTTTTATTTCGTGGATAATAAGTTTATGATTAATAAATTCATGATATATTCAACTACTATTTAATTTCGTGGTTTAGGGAAATGACCAAAAAGTCCTTTTATGGGACACTCAACACCGACAGAAGAGCAAACAATAAATAAACAAAAAGACCAAAAGAGGAAAGGTGGGCCACTTGAATTGGGCTCAGTTGCCTGCCCATTAAGACAATAAATTAAGCCCAAACAAAGATGGGCCCACTTGTGGCCCATGAAACCCTAACCCATTTTGCCGCGCGGTCACGTGATACGCCTTATCACAAATGAGAGCGAGACGTGAAGTAATAACGAGCGCATAATATTTTTGTGAGCCGAATCGAAACGCCTGGTTTTTTGGAAAGTTGCATAGTTTTGTCGTTGTGTCGTGTTTGTGTCCTGTAGTTACGAAGAAAATTGAAAATGGAAACGATGTCGTTTTAGCGTAATTTCCGACGGGCGAAAGAAATCCATTTATTGCACTCAAGGAGGGAAATAACATTACTGGTTAAAAGCTCAAAAGATTCGACGAATGATCACTAAGACGAAAGAAGACGAGACGAAGGCAGAGAAAGAGGGGAGAGGAGGGCGGAGACGGAGAAGCGTAGGTGACCTGGTCTTTGGATTCCGATAATTTGAGCTTCTAGGGCCGTCGGAGGACAATGGGGGAGCAGAGGAACCGATGGAACTGGGAGGTAAGCGGGTTTGAGCCCAGGAACCCGTCTTCTTCGTCTTTGGAGCAGGGTGATCAGTTCAAGCCAGGCTCTCCTTTGATTCGGAGGTATTCAATTTCCTCATCTTCAGCTTCTCCTCGTTTGGAGTTCTCTAAACAGTCTCTGCCCACCAAGGTTCAGCGATTGAGCGATAAAGTTAAGGTACTTGGATTTAATTCATTATACTCAATTCTTACCATCGGCTTCTTCCTCTTCTTCTTCTTCTTCCCATTTATCGGTGTGAACTCCTGATTTTTCTGTTCGTCGGTGTTCTTAATTGTTTATAATTTGATGCTGGAAAGTGGCATTGCGTTTGAAATGAGTTGATTGGAAGTCTGAACCGATATTAATGTCCCGAGCTATTCTTTTTAGCGATTTTTCGGTAAATATTGTTGTCATTGCCAAGCTAAGAATTTTGGTGAAATGGAGCATCTATTGTCAATTCGATTGACTTGCTTCTACGAGGGACATGGTGACATTCTACCAGGCCATATGTTGACTAAAAATGTCTTCGCGGGGCGATACAATTCCATACGTGTAAGTGAACGCATGCATGGTTTGGCCGTGTATGCTCGTTGTTTTCACAACAGCCAACTGAGACGTGGTGAATGGCCGGTCACAGGTGAAGAACTTGGAATCCTCAGCAGCTTTTGGTTTCGGCTTCCTATTCATTTTCAGGCATCGGTTAGACAAAAATATTGGGTGTAAAAGTGCAGGAGGAGTTCTGTCTCCGTATTCAAGTTGTCTGTACACCCATTTATTACGTTTCTCTGCTATGCGTTAGATCCGCTTCTCAAGCAAGAGGCAGATTCAAGGGTCTCCTAAGATCTAGAATATATTCTTGTTTCCAAAGACATTGGCTTGCTTGTCCATGTGGTCTTTTGACGTCTTTCATTTTTTAAAATTCGCGGGACTTCAGGCGATATAGGGATTTCTGTATTGATCCATCTCCTATACTCGTTAATTAGTTTGTTGTTTATTTTGACAGCTAGCTAAAGAAGATTACTTGGAGTTGAAACAAGAAGCAAGTGAACTGCAGGAATATTCGAATGCAAAACTAGATCGAGTTACTCGGTATCTTGGTGTTCTTGCAGAGAAGACCCGTAAGCTAGGTAAGACAGTGAGCACTTCTGCTCAATTATTCTCTACATTGAGTTCCTCGTCTCTAGATTTAAAATCAAGTAAATAGCTTTCATAATATCATGAGAATGATATATACTGTAATTTGTAGCCTTTCGAAATTCAAATTTGAGACGATATTCACGAAACCGATGCAAATTTGTTTGATCTTTGGTTGACCTTGTTCAGATGCTATATATAGTTAAATTTTCCTGTTTTTAAGTACAATTATTGGTGGTTTTTAAAGTGTTCGCAACTTGAATATCAGATAGAGTGGCCATTGAAACTCAGGCTAGAATCGGTCCATTAATTGATGAGAAAAGAAGGTTATTTAATGACTTGTTGACAGCCAAAGGTACACCCGTTTTTCATGAGTTTTCCTTCTATAAATTTGATAACCTGTAAAATTTAGTTCTAACAATAACTAGTTTATCAATTTCAGGGAACATAAAAGTTTTTTGCCGAACTAGACCACCATTTGAGGAGGAAGGCCCTTCTGTTGTTGAATTTCCTGATGAAAGCACAGTCCGCATCATCACTGGTGATGATACCATCTCTAATCCCAAAAAGGATTTTGAGTTTGACAGAGTTTATGGACCTCAAGTTGGACAAGGTGAAAGGAATGTGT